TGCAAACACTGCAGAACATGATTTGCCAACAATACAAAAATAATAACATATATATACATATTATTATATTATTACTATATTATTATGTTCATCTATTGGTCGATATGAAAGTATTTCATCAAAACATATCATTCAATTATTTTATAAATTATAATAATTACGAGTATATGTTGCATTAGTACTAATTTTATAAGCTAATAAAAATCATTTATTTCAATACTTTTGCACGTGTTTACAAATATTTATTTATTATATAGGTACTTAGTAATTCACTAAGCTCGCTCAACCTTTTTTTTCTTCTTCGATAACACTGTAAATTAAAATATGATTTTCAAAATTTTAAATATACTATTGAAGACCATAGTTTCTAATTCTTTAAGATTTTTGTACTAGGTATTTAAGGAAATATAAACTTCAATTTTACAACTTGCTTTTTCTACTATAAATTATTTAACTTAATAATTTTTTACAAAATGTTGACACATCAAAATCAAAACTTAAACAAGTTATTTTAATTTTTGTACCTAGAAAATAGGCCCATGATAATGAATTTGATAGATATGAGTGTTATATATCCGTACCCAATGGTAATTTGCAACTTTTAATAGATTATATTAATCTATCAATATTTATAATTTGAAAAATGGTCCACGTATAATAAATACTAAATCCAATACTGCATATATTTTATATTTTTTTTAAATAATTTTAAAGAAATTATACTCTATTTTAATAACTGAAAAACTACTTGTTCAAATGTTAAATTAGGTACAATAAAATGTTATCAAAAGTGATCTACTTAATAATTTATAGTAAAAAGATAAAGAGGCCAATTTCAAAAATAAAAGTTTGTATTACTTTAGAACACTCTTTAAATACCTAATAGAAAAGTTCTCAAATATTCGAATTAATCTATTTCTAAATAAAAAAATGACGCTGAATTTGTTTAAACGCTTAGTGAATTATACTGTATATGCTACAATACTAATAAATAATATTATTACTTACTATTAACTCCCTCATTGGCCATTTTTTCTTCATTAATGATTTCTTACGGTTTATACTAATGTTCCGCATCAAATATAAATAGGTGTAGGATACTGTATGTACGTAAGATCTAACATATTTTTTTCAATCTAAAAAAATTGGTTTGATCATATTTATAAAAAAAGTATTATAGAATTATTTTCTCAGCGCAATGTCTAAAAAAACTATTCATGAAATTTAATAATCGCATGATATTATTGAAATGTTTTATAGTAGATACAGATATAGATAAGCATCTATAAAATTAACGTATAGACAAATAAATTGAATTTAAATGCATTAAAAACAATTTTTTTTTAAATACACTCAATAATAAATAAAAATTTGTAAAAAATAAAAAATAAAATAAAAACAATCTAATAGGGTATAAGGGTTGGACAATTATCAACCACCAACCTAACCATTACTTAAAAACTACTATTACGGTAGACGGCGTGGGGATTAAAATACATAATCCGTTCTTCAACGACATGCCCGTAAAGTATACCCAGCACGCACACACGTGTACATTATTATACATATTATATAAAGTTCATACATAATATATATTACTAAACTGTAGGTAAGCTCATCTTATAGTCACAATGCAACAATAATAATTAATATAATAATATTATATGCGACGCTCTTCATTCAGCATACGCATAATATTGACCGATTTATTTTCAATTACATAATGATATCAACAATCAATTTCTATAGAATTAATATTATATGCTTACACCATAGTTAAATATATAATGATAAACATAAATACACAGATTTAAAATAATAGTTGTCACAGCATAAATCAATTGTCTTATTATGGGAGTCTATAATTTGTATATATTTTATATGCCGTGACAGAGACTTAGAACTCTAGACAAAAAAATCGAATCAAGGCTATTTAGCAAATTATACTCATAGTTAATTTGCAAGTTATTATGAAATGTAAATTTTTAAAATTTTTTTATAATAATCCATATTTTTAATTCCATTTTCGAATATATAAAATAACTATATCAGATAATTAATCAAACAAAAAAGTTTAATTTATATTTAATAACTAGGTACTTACTATATACAATAAAGACAACGTGTGGTGTAAATACTATTTCATTATTTAAATTTTAAATACTTATAAAAAACGAATACAATTTATTGATAACATTTTTCATTAAACGTACTGGCTAAGGACTATAAATTTAAAATATAAAAATATAAAATCGTTTTAAAATATTGTGTATTCAAAAATTAAAATAAAAACCTAGGTGAAAATTTCGCTATAATTACGCTACTGAATACACCAGAAATTAAATTTTACATTTATTTAATTATTTTAAAGATTCTTCATTTTTATATCATATATATATATTGTGTTATATAGTATGCTCAATATTATATGGTTATAGGTTGGGTATCGTAATCGTTTGCCATTTGTCTGAAATCTGAATAAATGATTTATTAGGTAAAATAATTATTTATATTATCATTCTGTAATGATTATTTTAATATACATCGTTTGAATATACAAGTATTATTATTATTATTTAATATACACATAACTTTAAACATATATTTCATTATACCATTTAAATCATTATACATTATAAATAAATTAATATTGGTTATTGGTTAGGTACTGCAAAAGATGAATATTTTCGATAATTTAAATACTTAACATTTGTATTATAAGATATTATAATGAATACTTTTGTTTGTATATTTCACAACCACGTTAGACGAAATAGTGGGCGTAGCGTATACTTATACACAAATATATAATTATCAGGTATAAAAGATGATGTTATAATAATATTTAGTAGGTAGTAAAAAAAAAATTGACGTAATTAATTTTCAACTGTTATTTTTATACACTTTTGATTGACGGGGAAATTGAGTAAAAAATAAATAATGCTTTGTATTCATGTAAAAATTGCATCAATAGATAATATATGTGAATTATCGTACATAAAATATATTTATTATTTACGTATTATACGTACGTCGTAGTCGTACATAATATAGGTACGTACATACATCATATAGGTATAGTGTAAAAATAGTAATTAAAATGTTATTTTTGTACGCTAAAACCATATTATTGTAAGTAGAATACAAAACGATGTACCTAACTTTTAAGCAACGTTCATCAATTATTATTAAAAGAAAATCAAAAATTCATACTATACCTACCGTATGTAATTAAAAAATATAAACAGAAATCACCAGTTAAGCTGTCTTAGCAGTTTCTGCTCGCGCTTCTCATAATTAATGATTAATTAATGTAAAAAAACAAAGTTAAAAGTCACCTTTTCGATGCGTTATTGTACGATATTACAAGAGTTAGGCGGCCAGTGATGTACGCATATTATATAACGTTCTTGGTAACATTATTACGTTGTGATATTGACTTTGAAATCAATAACCAATCGATTCTACTTAGATTGCAATTTTCTTAAATCTCTATTAAATTAAAATATTTCATTTGTTATAATTTCAAAGAATTAGCTTAAAAAAATAAAATATCTTGCTTTAAAAAAAAATATGTAATAATTGTTGGGTTGCATAAGCAATTACTAAGCATTCAATAAATCAATAGTTAACTAATAGTAACATAAACTAAATTTAGTAGTCCATGATTAGTCCAATAAATGTTAATAAATAATTTAATTAATTATGCAATTATGCGATCCAGCATACATTTTTATATTTAATAAATGTATGCTTAACCAATGTATCACAGATAACTTTCATATTATATAATATATACAATAACCATTAACCACAAAAATAACCACAGCATAGTAGATGCATTTATTATCCATTGCAATGTTTATACAAACATGAAAAATATATTGCAATCAGTAATCACTATTAGGTTTGCAACCATAAAAAATTCATACATACATACGAATGGACGTAGTCAATTGGCACCAAAATTGATTCTAAATATTTACAACATGTGTAAATTGCATCAAAATAAAGATTTTTAATTTACACAATCTCAGGTAGTGATAAATAAAACATTTAAATAGCATCAATATCAAAATTGACTAGGTAATATAAAATAGGTATTATCAAAAGAAAAATCGTGCAATTTTTAATAATTGAGTATAATTTATTAAAAAAATAATAAAACAAACTGACGTTTCATTAATTGTCGGATTAGTTAATAGTTAGATTGCAATTAAGGTTTTGATACTTACAGACTTTTTGTATTTGTATGCAACTAATTCATTGAATTAAGTTGTTAATATCAATTTATTATGATACTGATCCAAAGAAACTTGAATTTGATTTGTTCGTTCACTTGTTTGAGAAATAATTTGGTTAGATGTATGTAAACTTGATAGTTTTATGTACGCATTTGTTTAAAAATCGGTGAGAACTTTAATGAAGTAAAATATTTTCTTAAATATCGAAACTTTTACGATTATTCTTTGATAGTACCTATCTTATAATAATCGATTTTGGTTTTGGTGTTAATAACATTTCCTATTTCTTACTACCAACGATGGTGCAAATTATATGCCCTAATTTTAGTGAAAATTACAAACACTATTTTCGGCTACTTACGGTGGTGCAAATTACATATCTTTATTTTGGTGCAAATTACGAGCTCCCGTACAAACATCTTATTCTTTCTGTCTAGCATTTTTAAAATACTAGAGGATACAAATCGAAAAGAGAAAAAAACATATCTTCATCACCGTCATTTCAAAAAATTATACAAATATTACTTTTATCAAATCCATTTGACAGATTTTTAAATTTTAATACTACAAAAATTCCCGGGTCGGCGCACACAAATTTCGGACCCTGGCTGGATAACCACGGTGCCTATCATCGAACACCGTACACAATTATAAACGTGGCTATCTTCTTTAACGTCTTAACCTATGAACATTATGGCGATAAATAGCTTTAAAAAAAAAAAAAATTGTAGTGAAAAATGTCGTTTTTGTCTACAGGTATCTACGGGACACTGTTTAGGCGCAACAAGGAAGCGGCGTTTAGTAACTATCGGCTGTGGGAGTCGGCCGGCTTCGTGGTGGCGTACGCGTACAGCACGCACCTGTGCGCCCGGAAGAAGCTGTACGTCATGGGTGTCGTGCTGTTCGTCGGATTCGTCGGATACATAATCGTCGAAATCCGGCACAGCGTCAAGGCCAGGCGGCTCAAACGGCTGGCCGACGACCCGAAGTCGGAGCCGCTGCCCGACGAGACCGTCAATGAGACCGACGACGAGAAGGACGACATCGACGACGAGATAATCGTGACGCATTTATGAACAACGGGTAAGTGAAGACGGGGCTTTTGTGTGACTTTTTACCAACCTCTAATCCCCGAGTAAAATAAAATAATAATAATAATATAATTCATTTATTATTTCATTAATTATCTGGATCATTAGTAAATACTAAGTAATACTATTAAAGAGATCAAAATTTGACAAATTATTACACGCACTATATAATATGGAGAGATATGTCTCCGATAAATCGGACTAATAAATATTACTAAAATCAGCAAACGAGTGTCTAGTTAGTTGACGTAGCATTAAACGATTGCACTTTGAAGCTAATCAATTACTATGCTGAGCATTGCCGTTGAATGGATCGTGTACAGACATGAAATATCAGAGTTATATTATTATTTTTGTCGAGGTTTCAGTATTTATTCCCGCAGAGAATAGATAACGCACGTGTATAATTTACATTATGTCGTATAATATATATTTGAATTTAATACAACAATTCTCATAAGCGACAAAACATCAATGCACAGCAAAAAAATAGCTTTAATACTATTAGTGTACACTACGATGTTATGTTGCCTACTGGTATATACAATAAATGTGCCTATTTGGATTTGTAATAGAATATTATAATAATTGCCAGTTTAAATTAATATCACATCACTTTACCCACGACATTATCAATGATATTATTATATTAAACTTCTTATTTACTAGTATTTACTTATTGCTGTTATTTCGATACAAATTGCAAATTAATATTTTGTTAATAATTATTTAAAATACTGAAACTAACTTTGCCAACATTATTTTTATTATTTATGTTTTTTTTTTTTTTTTTGCAGACTTAATCGGTGTGCTATATTATATAGAATAAACCAAGATGCTCAGTTGCTATGTTATTAGAACGTCTTCATCACTTTTAAAATATATTTATTTTTACTATAAATTATGTTTAGTAACTAAATACGTATGGAAATCGGTGTGATGTATTGATTACACTAATTACCAATACTGTGTAATTTATTACTGCATTTTGTACATAGTATTTATACTGTTTCATAATTTGCATAGGAAATATGTATCAGTAAAAAAAAAAATTGTACATTACTTTTACAAATATTATTAGCATTAGTATTATTATTTTAAAATATCGCCCTTTTTTGTAGTGAAAGTGATCTAATTTTAACATTAACTATTACTAACTATCCGTCATAGATGGTTTACGTTAATTATATATGATAAAATGAGTTAAATTATTTATACGCCTAGTTTATAAGTATCAAAGTAGGTAGATACTTCTTCGTAGTTAGTCAATTATTTTGTTTTCCTTTACAAAACACGTCCAATAGTATTATTATTAACATATTATATTAAATAGATATAGATTTAGATAGTGTGTAATTAAAAATTGAATATTATTGTTGTTACTTATTATTATAATTTTTGTGTATGATGTGTGTTTGATACATTTAGATTTTAATTCGCTTGACAGCTTAGGCATATATCCTACAATATATTATATTATATAAAACGATTTAGATAAGAAAAATATAATATTTAGGTATATCCTCATCAGCAGCAACTGTGATGTGATTTATCTCGTAGAAATGTGTATAAAAATTAGATTGTAAAATAAAAACAAAATATATATTATGACATTTTTTCTTTCTTTCTTTTTTTTTTTTGGTGTTTTTCTAATATTAATATCATAATTGAATTTTATAATATTATGTATGTATAATATGTGTATGCTTATTAAATGTACAAAAAAACTGAAAATATGACACCCCTTACCAGCTGGTTATTGAAAAAATATTATTATTTATTTACTTTTATTAGATTAGGGATAAAGGACAAGGATGCCCCACATATAGTTGGTAGAGAAAGGTGAAGAAGAACAAAAAAAGGACTATATTAGATATTATAATATTATCATTGTTATTTTCATACGTCTTGAAAATGACTCATTGAGTGTTAATCACAATATGACGTGCAGCGTATTAGGTAATTTAGACAGTCAGTTATTACTTATTATACAGTTATCATCATGATACGTATCGAAAAGATTAAAAAATAATGAAATAATAAATAATAACAGGTAACTGGGTTTGCTGGTATTTACTGGGTTTGTCATTGGCTAATGAATAATTTAAATAATGTGTATATTAACTGTAACTACAACTGCAGATATTTACACATATTTATATAATATCATATGTATATAATATATATGATACAACTCCTGCGAATAATCTAATCACCGTCCTAGCACAAGTATATAGGATGTTTCACTATGTTTTTTTTATTTAATATTTATTTTTTTAAACCATTACTGAACCTATATATCGAAGAATAAAATCAATTGTAATACAAAGTAGTTACTACATCTTAAAACTACAAAATGTCCAATTTATGAAGGGATTATGTTTGTATATATCTTAAAAACAATTATGGTAACAAAGTAGAGAATAGTAATTTAGTAGATGATTATACATAAGTTCTTAAATTTAAAGTAGGTAATAGATATATTTTAATATGTTCTATGTAACTTACATATGAGAGGTGGGTTTTTAAAATAAACACGATGGACACTCTGTATAATATATTATAGATTTATCGATTCATGTCAATACACTCACCCGAATATCTTTATGAATAAAATTATGAGGACATGAACCCGTTGTATTCACCATTTACGTTAAACATGCATAACATGCTAAATTGTCGTCCTCCTTAGGTAGTCCTTAGTAGTTAATTTAACACAGTAGGTGTTATAATTTTTAAATAAAAATCAACTAATTGTTAAAAAATAAATACTATTATCTATTTATTCACTCATCGGTTTTTTCTTAGTAACTGTATTAACATTCATGGTATAGAATGTGAATTTCTTAATATTCTATAATCCCGCTTGTAAATAGCTCACATTAAAATTCAAACATCGAAAAATATTTGACAAGATAATAAATGTATTTACGTATATCTTCTTATAATCTTAACTGTATAAGTTTTATAATAAGTAAATTTACACTAAAATGTATTAAAATTAACAAAATTAGGTTAAGTTTAAGCGGTTTAGCTGAACTTAAATCATTCATAATATTTCAAATATCAGGTATGACATCTTCTTATCATCTCTTTTATTAAATTATATATTAGAAAATTGAACATCATCAACATTGTACCATTTATGTGTGAGTAACATTATTAAAAAATACATATTTTACATACAAACTAGTCAATTCTGCGAAAAATCTGTACATAAATTAATATTCGGTTTGAAGTTTGAATGGTAGATGTATTAGTATACATCATAGCTCTCGCTTGTGTAAAACCCTCTCGTATTTATAGTATGAGTGTGCGGTATCGTATCCAATCCGTTATGTTTATTTTTTCTTTTAACAATATTATACATTTAAGAAATATTATATAATCCACTTAGGACACACCCTGAATGACCTTGAACCTCTCAGCGTAGATATTTTTACACGACCTGTACTGTGATGTATATTATTATTTATTATATACTGTTCGATATTTTTTCTTACCTCTTTTATTTGCATATATTATAAATGTGTGTGCGATTTTTACACCCATCCGCCCACCCACTCTTTCACATAACAACATACTTTGGTCTAACATCATGTAAATTGTGCGTATGTATATATGTATAATACTGTTATAAACACGCATTATAATATAAGCCCCTCCTGTATATATTATTAAGTAGTCGCTTTAAGGACAAGACATTGCTCCCGGTTCAGAAGTTACATGGATAAATCATGAATATGCTTTGCTTTAAAATTATATTAGCACAATGTAAAAAAATTAAGTTTATTTAATATTTTCCAGAGACGTATCATAAACTTTAAAGTTTATTATTACCATTATTTCTAAAAAGTGTATTAAATAATATTTAAAACATTAATATGATTTGTATATCAACAACTGATGAAATCCTATTAGTAACTAAACTAAAAATACGTTTTAGGAATTTCAAATTTGTGGCAAAAGATTTATTACTAACATTTAAAAATATATCACTATTATCATAAAAAATGTATTGTTCAAATTGCTTAAAGAAAATAGTAAATACCTAACAGGACTATATAAAAAAAAAAATCATAATTATAATTCATAAAATAACTATTATAGTATTTTATAATACACTACATTAATGCTCATACATTACGTAGCCACGTAGGTATACTTTTAGAGCCAATGATTAAATATATTGCATTTTGCCGTAAAAAACAACAACTATCACAATCGCAAAATTATAGAACTTAATTTCCCATCAACTTCTAATATGTAATTTTAGTAAAATTATTATTCGTACATTCATGTATACAATATACAATATACATACATACACTACGCCCTCAACGTTGTATTTATATTTTTTAAATCACATTTTTAAAATAAATTAACCTTATATGTCAAATTTTATGTTATTGAATTTTAAATTAAAAAATATATTATTATTAATGAATAATAATGCATACCTATACTGACATTTTAAGCTAAGTAAAAGGTCAATTATAAATTTACAACAGATAAAGACTAGTTACTATTGCAAGAAATTGTACCCATACAAATATGTAGTTTAGTGAACATAATAAAGATCCTGAAATTGGTGAAAAGAACTAATTAAGACTTAAGTTTAATTATATTTTTTCATCGTATATAATATTATGTAATAATATTCATTTATTACATTTGTTTAATATTTTACTTTTATTTGAATTTTGAAGTTATCTAAACTATCATACATAATATAATATTAATCATGTCAATTATTATGAACTATGAATGGCTTAACTATACCTATAGGTTTTAAATTATTTAAAATCAATAATTTATACTTATAATAACAATAATAATAAATGAAAATAATGCATTCAAATGATTTTCGGGACTGCGATAAAAAAATAAAAATATTTTATTAAATACTATAGGCACCTATAAGGATTACAATACTTAAGATATTATAATATACCTAACTGTATATTAGCTATCTATACCACATAGTGGCGTCAAAAGAGTATTGAAAGATCACAAACCTCTCATATTATTTTTTACTTCATAAAAATCATTTTAATCTATTCTTATAAACTTATGACTAAACCAATTATTATAACCCTCCTCCTCAGAAAAAAATCTTACGTGTGTAACTAATACTAAATAACCATTTCATTACGATATTTAATCATTAAAATTTCTAAAAATAAAGTATTTTACATAGTATATACTTATACTTACTGTATTTATTTATTTCGAAGTCGTATACAATCTGCATAAATTTATTAATTTTCAAATAAAAAAATAAAATATAATGAAATCTCTCTATTTTACAAAGTGTGATAATTTTTCCTGTGAAGTTAGTTTTTCTAATAAAAACGGGTCAAATGTAAAACCATTATCTTATCATGAATATTGTGTATTAGATACGAGTTTCATAACATGATAGCTACGCGTACCAATAATACCTATACTATAGATCAAAAATAAATCTTTTCTATACCATATAGGAAATCTATTATAATATAGATACCTATATCTTTAGTTCCATGAATAATATAATAATATACTATACAGCTGCAGCCGCCCGTGGAGAAATACGGTCCATATCGGAATTCGGCAGAGTCATGTTTAGCGGAAACAATAAAATATATAATAATAATAATAATAATAATAATAATAACATATTATATTACTTGATTACACACGATGGTCGGCGCGACTGTGCCCAAAAAACGCCCAAACTCATTACCGCGGATGGGAAAAGCACGCGGTAGGTATAAATTTTCTGCGGTTGTCTCGAGTAGTAAAGTCAAACGCAATTAGAAGATTTGTATATATATATATCCACATGGTAATTCCGTCTTGGCGTCGTGTATTATATTATGTTATTATGTGACTCGTATAATATAATTTACACGTCTGCTGGTTTGCATGAATGACGTACGAGATCATATATATTTTAATAATATTGTATATTGTCTTGGGATTTTTACACTCGCGCGTACCCGTAATAATTAGTAAGACGGATCTATAGAAAATAAGATCATAAATAGCCTTTAGCGATATGTTTTTTTTTTTTTTTTGTTTGTTTTGTTTCCTCGACTTTTAAATCGCGTTTTTTTTATGTATACAAACATTGATTGCATTTATCTATTATTTATTTATACAATAGGACCTAAATAGATAAAAGTAGTAGCTTATTAGATTATCTAGTATAATTTTTTATTACTTTAATAATAATAAATATATAAAAATACAATCGATTTATCCGTTTCTACTGAAACGTGTACTTTAGTGTACTTTTCAACAGTTTGTTTAATTAG